AAATGATCAATCATGGGGAAAAAGTTCAACGTATAGATCCATTTGTGTATCATCCCATTCTTGGAAATATTTTGAATTGTTCATCCAAACAATAGATATACTTTCACCAACAATTAACGGACAATGAAAAGATATAAAATCTTGGAGTTATGTCAATTCGAAAGGTGGTGTAAGATTTAGACTACCACTCGTACCAATATTGTAACTTTTTTTATTTAATTCCATTTTCTTTGTATGTGAAAGTCTGTTATGTGTAATTGGTTGAATTGAATGAACAAATTTTTATTCACTTCTACATTTTCAATTTCGTTATTACATTATATCTAATTAAAAAATTATAAAACATGAACGAAATTAAAACAATATATATATATATATATATATATATATATATATATATTATAAAAATATCATTTAAAAAATATTATAAATAATTGAAAAATATATATTAAACTATTAATCATATCATCTCTTAATTTTTATTCTCGTCTCCTATTTTTTAATAAATGAAAATAAAAAGAAATTGTTTCAAAAGTATAATTGACAAAATTTAAACATATAAAATACATATTCTCTCATTACAAAAATATATAATTTTTTCATTTTTTATTTTTTATATTTTAATAAAATTTAAAATAAAAATAAAAAAACCAGTTTAAAATTCGATTCTTTGGAAACTCAATTTCAATTAATGTTTTGGCCATTATTCACAAAAGTAAAAATAAAGGTCAGAATTTGACTATCCGATAACCACATAAAATCAAAAATGTACTATCCATATAAATATGGTACACAATATTATATAGGAAATTTTAAACAAAATATGTTAGGCATAAAAAAACAATCTTGTAAATCTACCAAATCACTCCTTTAAGCTGTGAAATCTATAAAAGGATTCATTGGTTTTTTATATTTTTGCACTTGCATGTGAGCCTGCACAATAAATGATAGAATGATTGGAGACGTATTATAATTATTATTATTATGAGTATTATTATTATTAGTATCATTGTATATATTATTATTAGTATTACTAGTAGCAGTTGTAGTATTATTTGATTAAATTTAGTAGTAATATTGGTATTATTTGATTTATTAGTTTAGTATTAATATTAGAATTATTATTATTATTATTAAATAAATATTAAAATAATAATCTTTATTTTTAATTAATTTATTCATAAAAAATCATGTGATTAATTATTTAATTTTTTCATATGATCAAACTATTTATTTAAAAAAAATATTTTTAACAAATTATAACACTTAAATACAACTATTTAAATAAATTGTTTTTTCAAAAAATAATAATTACATTAGTTATTTAATACAAATATAAAATAAAATAAAATAACACAACGACACGGTCCAAAACTAGTTGATTTCAAAAACAGGTTACAACTGCTCAAATTAATGGTTATGCTAAAAAACTAATTGATTAATTTATTTAACATCATTTCCAAAAACCAGATTTTATAACATTAATAAATTAGAAACAAAAACTAATCGATTAAATGAGAAAATGTGATTTTCATACTGATTTAATCAATTAGATTTTAAACTTAATCGATTTAATATGAATAACTTCTTCTACTTAGTTTTTCTTTCAACTAATATAATCGATTAGATATTTATACTAATCAATTAATTGCGAATTATACATCCTGTTTCTAAGCTTTGATTGATAAAAAAGTACTTAACCATTTAAAAATAAGATTATTTTAAGTCATTATTAGTTCAATTGCTTAAAAGATTTATCTTTCAACACCAATAGGAGAAGGTTATTTAAGGTCTTTGACAATTTTAACTAAAAATATCTTTAAAATATAATTAACTCGATTGGAATCTTACATTAAAAACATATTTAAGTTTTATAATTAATGCAATATTCTGTTAAGAATAATGAGTTTATTAAAAAAAACATATATGCCAAAAAAGAATCGTACACGTGCCTCACATAAGGCCCAAACTGAAACACTAAATACTTAAAAGTTTTCTTTCCACACTCCTATTATTACTAACTGCACCGAATACTGGGAGAATATTCTCTCTCACTGTCTCTGCCATTATGCTCCCTTTATCTTTCAAGTTAATAAAGATTAGGAGTCTTACAAATACAAATACAACCCCTAACACACCATTTTTAAATCATTAATTAAGATTTATTAAACACAGAATAACATGAGATATTAATAAAATGAAGTGATTCTCACAAAATTCCAATTTTTAATAAATTTTATCAATACAGAAAGAATGTGTTTGAAATAGTATTGTAAGGTGAGTGAGAGATATGTTTAATACCATTAATTGGATCACAAAAAATATTTTTTTATTATAATAAAATAAAATCCCTTCTTCCCACCTCATAAAACCTCATCTATAAGCCATCATTAATCCAATTCCCTTTACAATTATGGTGTTTGAGATTTGGATGATAGTTTCAAGTTAAGTGATAAGGTTCTATGGACATGTTTTACGTTGATGTGTTGTTTTATTGATTATGATAGTTTAGCAATGGATTGTGGGTTAGGTATTTATTTGAGTGTGGAAGTTGGTTTAGCACAAGGGAAGAAGATCATCACATCATGGTACGTCAATGCTCATGATTCATGATTGTGTTAGGTTCACATGTTTTATGATTATATTAAAAGGAGTTAATGCTTCAATAAAACTTTAATAAAACCAAATCCAAAGAATATATCCAACATGATTATGGGAGAAGATGGTGGTTACACAATTGTAATGCCAATATTGCCATTAAAGATAAGTTTCAAAAATTAAATTATATATTTATTGATTCTTATTGTATAACATTTCATTAATACAATAAATTGGAGACTTAAAATAGTAAATGGAAGGCTTAGATATCTTTTTAATTCATGATATATTGTGAAGTTTTGTTTTTAGACTCTTAACATATTTTTAATTTCTTTCAGTTTTATTTTTTTTCCCAAGCTTATTAAATTAATCTCATTCATAATTTCATAATTAATTTTTAATCAATAAAAAAATATATACAATAGTGGCAGAAAATACAATATGTAATATATATACTAAATATATATGTTACTATATCATATTTTAAAAATCAAAAACTCTTACAGTTATAGCAAAAACCAAAGGGAGATACACAATAAGACACTCTTGTCTACCTTCTGTTAATTCTGATGAACTTCAATAGTAAAAGGTAACACACAATTTATGTAAAAAGCCATGATTAACGTAACTAGAGTTGCTAATAACACTTTCAAACAATTAACATAAAAATGAACAAACTTATCACATATATTGTAATTTATAATTAATGTAAAATTGTTTTAAATCTATAATATATGACCTGTTTTATGATTCTTTCTTTTAAATTTGCTCATTCCAGAGCTTCCATACAGCGAGATGATGTTGAGTGCCACTAGATACAATTTTCTAACATTGATTAAAAAAATTTCTGAAGAAAGTAGAATGAACATTCCAAAAAGATACTTATACAAGACTTTCCTTTTTTTCTTTTTACAGATGAATACGAGCATTACATAGGTATTGACACTAATGAGAATGTCATTTTTAACGTTTAAACTACATGTTTTAAACAGGGAGCTATAGTGGAAAACCAAGATGCTTGTCACCTAGGGCCAGAAAGCTCCATGGCTTCAATTATGAGTGAAGATTCCTCTATTAAATCTGAATATCTTTGAGGCTCACAAGACCGAAACCTTGGTGTTTCAATCCTCTGTGAGGCCTCCCATCTCTCAGCCAAGCCATCCCCTTCCAACATCTTTAATACTTCTGACATCTTGGGGCGGTGTGAAGGATTGAACTGTGTGCACAAGAGTGCAACCTGAACCATTTCTTCTAACTCAATCAGATCAAAGTTTCCCTTTAGATCTTTGTCCACCATTTGACTTAATCTTCCATCCTGGTGGAGCTTCTTAACCTGAAAGTTGTTTCATTCACATTCAACAGAAGAATGGTTATTTAAGACAAAAATTTATCTATTTCACCCATTTACCAAGAACAAGAGAGAATAACTTTCAACTAAACTGGCCAATTCTTTTAGCATTTTTGTCAGCACCAATCAACCCTGATGAATATATTGGAGGTTTAATCCACCCTATTGAGGGTAAAGTTTATTTTTAGGATCATTGAATGAAGCAAAACTCTCACTGTTTTCTTCTTAATCCAGTTGCATTCATAGAACTTCAATTCAATAATACCATTAGTAAAGTTAAGCTAAAGAAATGTTGCTTTCTAATCAATACACATACACTTAAAAGGCTGGTTTGAAGCAGCTCAAAATGTAAGGTTTTTATTAAATAACATTTATATCATACCTTTTGTATTTATGATGTAGTAAATGTTTTCTTTCCTAATAAAGACATTTCACTTTTAGTTGCTTACAATCAGACCTGGTAAGTATTAATGTTAACCAAACTGTTTTATTACTACTAACTCCTATTTAGAGAAGTTATTCAAGTACTCTTTCCATTAAAATTTCTAGGAAGACAAGTTATGCATATAAGAAGAAAGTTGCTCCAAGTGCCAACAAATCATTCATTGTAAGTTGTGGGAATAAATACATTCTAAAACTTGTAAAAGAGTGATATGCTAAGTGAAGAAGAAAAGAAACGTTGAAAAGAGTGAAAGTGTGTGGAAAACGTACCCAATCAAGCATTACACCTTTCTGGTTCGCTGCTCGCCCAAAATCTAGAGCCTTGTGACCTGTGATCAGTTCAAGCAGCAAGATTCCAAACCCAAACACATCAGTCTTTTCTGATGATTGGCCAGTGGATAGATACTCTGGAGCAATGTGACCAACAGTGCCACGCACGGCAGTGGTCACATGGGAGTCTCTATGATCCAGAAGCTTGGCTAAACCAAAATCGCCAACAACAGCTTCAAAGTCTTCATCTAGCAATATGTTAGCTGCTTTCACATCACGGTGAATAATCTTAGGGTCACATTGTTCATGCAAGTAAACCAACCCTCTTGCTGTACCTAAAGCTATTCTCTTCCGCCTAGTCCAATCTAACGCCGGATGGCCATGGATATGATCTGGTACATAAATCCAAAACCAAAAACAAATAAGTTTAAAATGATCTTGTGGAATTGAATTATAATTATTACCCCTAATCATGAGCAGCTCATGAATATCTTAGCAAACCAACTAACTATAAGTAAGAGCTAAGAACAGAAAAAGGTAATAGGTTTTCTGTAACTGAATAGGAACTCGGCACAAAAAGGCTAGAGTGTATTAGTATTAACTAAAGTGGCCAGTTAACACAATCTAAATACCTACATAAGGTAATCTGACTGTAAGATTCAAATGATCATATGACAGATTATTGTCAGTTGACATAAAACAGGCTGAACACAGTACGTCCAGCCAGTTATTAGTATACTGGTTAGGTAAACAACAGATTGTAAAGCTCAGATCTAACCTTTTAATCTAGAGGCTACACTTCCATTAGACATATATGGATAAACGAGGAGCCTTTCATGCTGAGTGCTGCAAAACCCCGAAAGCCTGAGAAGATTCCGGTGGACAGCCAAACTGATTGTCTCAACTTCTGTTTGAAATTGGATCTCACCACCGGCTGCATTGTAGTCCTTTAGCCTCTTAACAGCCACAACAGACCCATCATTTAGGCATGCCTTGTAGACTATTCCAAAGCCACCTCTTCCAAGAATGTTCTTTGAGTTGAAATGGTCTGTTGCAGTTCGAAGCTCTTTGAATGAAAACCTTTTTAAATGACCAAGACGCACCTCCGGATCATAATGTTCTGCCAAATAACAAACACACACAAGTGTCAATTGAACATCATTGAAAGAGAACGAAGTAAAAGCTCTTTCATACACAGTATTTTGGTATAGGAGCAGAACGTATGCTTATATCACATTAGGGAATGGATTTATAATGATACTGTTTTCAACTACAAAATGCACATAATATGCCAATGTTAACTTCCTTTCAAAGAAGGTGGTCCATATATGATTACACATTACATATACCACAAGTGGTACTGTTAACCATCAATTTTTTCTCTTCTAGAATAACCATTACAGAAGTTGCATAACACCAAATAAAATTTTCAACTAAGATTTCCAACAATTTCAAAGTTTAGAACAATGACAGCTGTTGTTCGTCATGTTTCAAAAGGTCACCATCGAGGTTTAGTCCCATTTCATTATATGCATAAGTCTTACAGCTGATTTAATGAGCTTAGAGTAGTTGGAAAATAATATAAACAATCTAGAAACAGTGCAACATGTTGAATGGTCAGAAACAGACAAAAGTTCTTTGGAAGCAACGTCGCTTAGTGTTAGGTAAAGGTGGGTCAATTAACTTTGCCAGTGTAACAAACATGAATTGAAGCGAGCATCTAAGATGTGAATTCCTTGAAAAAAATATCCTTAAACGATTGTGTGCTGTAACAGTGCGATGAGCAACCCATTTTTTGCAAATTTTCCATAAAGTTTACTGATAGAGAGCATAAGAGATAAAAAGAAAAAGAATTATAAAAAGAAAAATGAGAGTTCTAACCGTTAACATCAAAGAATATCTGCTGGTTGCGTCTATATCGCCACCAAACAAGAAACCCAACTATAATCACAATGACAAATGCAGCACCAAAGCTTGCACCGAAAGCAAGTGCCACGTGATGGCTTTTTTTACCAGAATCAGATTGGCCTAGAAAACCAAATCACCACATTAAGCACGCCATATTTTTATTCAAAGAAATAATAATGTGAAAGCAGAGTTCAATGATAGATTAACACCTCTTAGTGCATCTGGAGGGAAGGAAAGTGGCTCCGGTAAAACAGAAGAACAGTTGTTTGCTTTTGGACCACAAATTAAAGGGTTACCCACAATCCTGCAGTAAATAATTGAGCAAGAGATAAACTACACTGCCCTGTTTTAAACTTGAATACAGAAGAAAAAAAGACGAGCAAATTCGAAATGAACTAACTTTAATGTTCTTGCCGATATTCTAGGCAAGGAACCACTCAGATTGTTGTAGGAGAGGTCCCTGTACATATTCAAGTCATAAGAGTTAACATAACTGTCTTTTAGATAGAAATCAAAGCTTTGAATCTGCCCCTTGTTCTCTGAGCTAAAACTGAAATATGATTAAGCAAACAGAAAAATAATGGTGCAACAAGATGATAAAGACTTACACAAGGGTTAGACCTTCGATATTGCTAAGAGACTGAGGACAGGATCCCGTAAGGCTGTTATTGTTTAACCTCCTGGCGTGCAAGTAAAATAATTTACATTGAGTAAGAAACATAATTTCATTAGTCACTGCTAAAGCAAATGAATAACTCATAATCACTGCAATCAATAGGTTCTTCAGAAGTGCTTTTTGTAACTTACAAATAATTCAGGTTCTTGAGGCCTCCCAAAGAACTGGGTATCTCACCACTAAATGCATTATTGGAAAGATCAAGTGTGTGAAGCCTTTCCAAGTTTCCTATTGCAGCAGGAATCCTACCAGAAATGGCATTATTCTGAAGCAACCTGCATGTGTATAATTAATAAAGCATAGTTGTAATTTTTTCACTTATTCAGCTTATAATTCGGGGGAAGTATGATTTTGTGAAAGGATAGAGCTGATCAATAAGAACTAAAAGACACTGATGCCAAACTCAACCACCATACAAAGCGAAAGCAAGATATAAAGAATCTCAACAAAAATAGCAGACGTACACAGATTGCAAGTTAGTGAGGTTTCCAATTCCGGGAGATAGTGTACCAGACAAGTTCTGACTCGGAAATCCCCTGATAAGAGAAAAAGAAAATCCTTTAGTTGAAAATCAAACTAGCAAAAGTTGGATGGTTCACTCTCTAAACAACGCCTCTTGAAACTTCTTCATCACTCTAGAACCCACTTAAAGGCCAAGCAACTTACAATGCAGAAACGGAGCCATCAGAGGAACACGTAACCATTCTCCAGCTACATGGATCAACAGAACTAGAATCCCAATTTTCCAGAACGTTGTGAGGATCAGTCAAGTCACCCTTTATGGCCATCAGAGCTACAACTGTTGAAGGAACAAACAGAAGAGGGGATAAGAAGTTTCATCCGAAAATCCTCCTGTACCTCCAGCAAACAGATAAAAAGAACATTGATCGGCCAAGAAAATAAAATAAAATAGGAAACTGAAGACCCCACCCCAACACCCTAGGTATGGGGAAGAAGAAGAAGAAGAAAAAGAAGAAAAACCCTATTAAAAAAAGGAAGAAGAACCTCTCTGCTGCTATTTTGTCATAGATAGTTAGGTAGCACTTAAATTCTCAAGGAAAATGAAAACTGAAAAACCAAGACAGAAATAGCATCATTACATTACATCAACCTTAACCACCGAGCTACCGTGCCTACTAGTTTCCAGCACAATTAAATTGGTCAATATGCAAAACTTTTGTGCCTTAAATAATCAATTCACAAACCTTCACTTCACAAGTTTTACCAAAGATCTCAATGAACAAAACAAACAAAAAAAATTCCCAAGAAGAACATTAACCTTCATAGTTTATGCCAGATGGAGAAAGAGCAGCAGAAGAAATCTCCATCAACTGCAAAAGCAGCAACCCCAGTAGCCAGAAAACCAAACTACTAAGTTCCATACTCTAAAATTAGTTCCTCAACTGTGTCTCCCTCACACAACCACTGACCAGTGCTCCAAGCCACCATAATTAACAACAACTCTCCCCATTCCCACAAAGAAGGTCCAGTCTATATCACCTTATCCAAACAGAAAAAGCCAGTCTCTGGAATCAGATTCCCACACAAAGCAACCCCACCCTCACCAAAACAGCAACTTCCACTAGACCAAATTCAATGAACATCAAGCCAAAAAGAACCCAGATGCCAAAATTGTTTTTTTTTTCCTTTTTTGCCACCACAGACCAACTTGGCAACTAAAAATTTGAATCAGCCAAGAGGAGTGAGCACTGAGAACACCAAAAAGAGCAAAACTTTAATGGCGAAAAAAAGAAAAAAGAAAAACCCAAGTTCAAGGCTGAAGTTGTGAGATCCTTGAGATCTGTGAGCGTTGGGTTTGGGTTCTATGAGGTGTGGACAGCCCCCACAAATAATTCCATGTGAGTGTGTCGTTGTTGTTTCCCGGTGATAACACTACCATTATCTTCTTTCTTTTGCAGTTGCAGAAAATAAAAAGGAGGTGAGCATGGAGCACGCTCACAACCCAACCAAACAAAGAACCAAACAGAGGACAAAACAAAAGGCCAAGGTGGACACAAATGTAGATGCACAACTATACCCAGTGACCAAAAACTTTTCTCAGGAATAAAAGTAAATAAATGAACAAAAATTATTATAATGATGGAAAACTGGTTGGTGCATTTTTTAACTTTGAAAAAAAGGAGATTGTGGTGTGAAGGGATGTGTGGGATTGATGAGTGAGAGAGAGAGACATGAGAATTATGGGAATGGGATGTGGTGATGAAAAAGAAAATATGGTTGCAGGCAGGTAAGTTTTTTTGGACAGGTCACGTGGTTGGATTGTCTCCTCCTTTGTTTGCTTTTGGCTTGAAAATGTAACTTTTTCAGAATTCGGGAAAAACAAACATCAACCAACGAAACAAATCACATTCTGCAATCTGCAGCTCATGAACTAATGGTCCATTGTGCTACACTGTGCCTCTTTCTTTGCTTAGTAATGCAGGAACCCTTTCATTTAAACTCTGATTAAGTTAATTCAAATAGGATAACTTTATACTGTTTACTATATGTCTAACTTCTTGTTAATAACTAACCATAAATTTTATGTTAAATTTGTACAATAAATCGAGATATTGTTAAATTTTGTAAACAATTTTAGGTTTAAGTTTTATGGAAAGATGCAATTGCGAATCGATTTTACCTTATATAATAGTTTTACTTTAGAAATCATGAGTTAAAATAATTTAAATATTTTTTTATCTTTAAGAAATTATAAATTTAAAATAAGAACAAAAATTTCTAATTTTTGTAATACTTATTTACAATTTCATAAATGCTCCCTTTCAATTTTATATGTAAAAAACTAATGCAGAAAAAAATATTTTCCAAAAATTGCTTGCCACATTAATTTTCAAACAATAGTTATCAAATACATGTGTAAATAAAAAGATCACATGTTACATATGCTCAACTANATCAAAGAATATCTGCTGGTTGCGTCTATATCGCCACCAAACAAGAAACCCAACTATAATCACAATGACAAATGCAGCACCAAAGCTTGCACCGAAAGCAAGTGCCACGTGATGGCTTTTTTTACCAGAATCAGATTGGCCTAGAAAACCAAATCACCACATTAAGCACGCCATATTTTTATTCAAAGAAATAATAATGTGAAAGCAGAGTTCAATGATAGATTAACACCTCTTAGTGCATCTGGAGGGAAGGAAAGTGGCTCCGGTAAAACAGAAGAACAGTTGTTTGCTTTTGGACCACAAATTAAAGGGTTACCCACAATCCTGCAGTAAATAATTGAGCAAGAGATAAACTACACTGCCCTGTTTTAAACTTGAATACAGAAGAAAAAAAGACGAGCAAATTCGAAATGAACTAACTTTAATGTTCTTGCCGATATTCTAGGCAAGGAACCACTCAGATTGTTGTAGGAGAGGTCCCTGTACATATTCAAGTCATAAGAGTTAACATAACTGTCTTTTAGATAGAAATCAAAGCTTTGAATCTGCCCCTTGTTCTCTGAGCTAAAACTGAAATATGATTAAGCAAACAGAAAAATAATGGTGCAACAAGATGATAAAGACTTACACAAGGGTTAGACCTTCGATATTGCTAAGAGACTGAGGACAGGATCCCGTAAGGCTGTTATTGTTTAACCTCCTGGCGTGCAAGTAAAATAATTTACATAGAGTAAGAAACATAATTTCATTAGTCACTGCTAAAGCAAATGAATAACTCATAATCACTGCAATCAATAGGTTCTTCAGAAGTGCTTTTTGTAACTTACAAATAATTCAGGTTCTTGAGGCCTCCCAAAGAACTGGGTATCTCACCACTAAATGCATTATTGGAAAGATCAAGTGTGTGAAGCCTTTCCAAGTTTCCTATTGCAGCAGGAATCCTACCAGAAATGGCATTATTCTGAAGCAACCTGCATGTGTATAATTAATAAAGCATAGTTGTAATTTTTTCACTTATTCAGCTTATAATTCGGGGGAAGTATGATTTTGTGAAAGGATAGAGCTGATCAATAAGAACTAAAAGACACTGATGCCAAACTCAACCACCATACAAAGCGAAAGCAAGATATAAAGAATCTCAACAAAAATAGCAGACGTACACAGATTGCAAGTTAGTGAGGTTTCCAATTCCGGGAGATAGTGTACCAGACAAGTTCTGACTCGGAAATCCCCTGATAAGAGAAAAAGAAAATCCTTTAGTTGAAAATCAAACTAGCAAAAGTTGGATGGTTCACTCTCTAAACAACGCCTCTTGAAACTTCTTCATCACTCTAGAACCCACTTAAAGGCCAAGCAACTTACAATGCAGAAACGGAGCCATCAGAGGAACACGTAACCATTCTCCAGCTACATGGATCAACAGAACTAGAATCCCAATTTTCCAGAACGTTGTGAGGATCAGTCAAGTCACCCTTTATGGCCATCAGAGCTACAACTGTTGAAGGAACAAACAGAAGAGGGGATAAGAAGTTTCATCCGAAAATCCTCCTGTACCTCCAGCAAACAGATAAAAAGAACATTGATCGGCCAAGAAAATAAAATAAAATAGGAAACTGAAGACCCCACCCCAACACCCTAGGTATGGGGAAGAAGAAGAAGAAGAAAAAGAAGAAAAACCCTATTAAAAAAAGGAAGAAGAACCTCTCTGCTGCTATTTTGTCATAGATAGTTAGGTAGCACTTAAATTCTCAAGGAAAATGAAAACTGAAAAACCAAGACAGAAATAGCATCATTACATTACATCAACCTTAACCACCGAGCTACCGTGCCTACTAGTTTCCAGCACAATTAAATTGGTCAATATGCAAAACTTTTGTGCCTTAAATAATCAATTCACAAACCTTCACTTCACAAGTTTTACCAAAGATCTCAATGAACAAAACAAACAAAAAAAATTCCCAAGAAGAACATTAACCTTCATAGTTTATGCCAGATGGAGAAAGAACAGCAGAAGAAATCTCCATCAACTGCAAAAGCAGCAACCCCAGTAGCCAGAAAACCAAACTACTAAGTTCCATACTCTAAAATTAGTTCCTCAACTGTGTCTCCCTCACACAACCACTGACCAGTGCTCCAAGCCACCATAATTAACAACAACTCTCCCCATTCCCACAAAGAAGGTCCAGTCTATATCACCTTATCCAAACAGAAAAAGCCAGTCTCTGGAATCAGATTCCCACACAAAGCAACCCCACCCTCACCAAAACAGCAACTTCCACTAGACCAAATTCAATGAACATCAAGCCAAAAAGAACCCAGATGCCAAAATTGTTTTTTTTTTCCTTTTTTGCCACCACAGACCAACTTGGCAACTAAAAATTTGAATCAGCCAAGAGGAGTGAGCACTGAGAACACCAAAAAGAGCAAAACTTTAATGGCGAAAAAAAGAAAAAAGAAAAACCCAAGTTCAAGGCTGAAGTTGTGAGATCCTTGAGATCTGTGAGCGTTGGGTTTGGGTTCTATGAGGTGTGGACAGCCCCCACAAATAATTCCATGTGAGTGTGTCGTTGTTGTTTCCCGGTGATAACACTACCATTATCTTCTTTCTTTTGCAGTTGCAGAAAATAAAAAGGAGGTGAGCATGGAGCACGCTCACAACCCAACCAAACAAAGAACCAAACAGAGGACAAAACAAAAGGCCAAGGTGGACACAAATGTAGATGCACAACTATACCCAGTGACCAAAAACTTTTCTCAGGAATAAAAGTAAATAAATGAACAAAAATTATTATAATGATGGAAAACTGGTTGGTGCATTTTTTAACTTTGAAAAAAAGGAGATTGTGGTGTGAAGGGATGTGTGGGATTGATGAGTGAGAGAGAGAGACATGAGAATTATGGGAATGGGATGTGGTGATGAAAAAGAAAATATGGTTGCAGGCAGGTAAGTTTTTTTGGACAGGTCACGTGGTTGGATTGTCTCCTCCTTTGTTTGCTTTTGGCTTGAAAATGTAACTTTTTCAGAATTCGGGAAAAACAAACATCAACCAACGAAACAAATCACATTCTGCAATCTGCAGCTCATGAACTAATGGTCCATTGTGCTACACTGTGACTCTTTCTTTGCTTAGTAATGCAGGAACCCTTTCATTTAAACTCTGATTAAGTTAATTCAAATAGGATAACTTTATACTGTTTACTATATGTCTAACTTCTTGTTAATAACTAACCATAAATTTTATGTTAAATTTGTACAATAAATCGAGATATTGTTAAATTTTGTAAACAATTTTAGGTTTAAGTTTTATGGAAAGATGCAATTGCGAATCGATTTTACCTTATATAATAGTTTTACTTTAGAAATCATGAGTTAAAATAATTTAAATATTTTTTTATCTTTAAGAAATTATAAATTTAAAATAAGAACAAAAATTTCTAATTTTTGTAATACTTATTTACAATTTCATAAATGCTCCCTTTCAATTTTATATGTAAAAAACTAATGCAGAAAAAAATATTTTCCAAAAATTGCTTGCCACATTAATTTTCAAACAATAGTTATCAAATACATGTGTAAATAAAAAGATCACATGTTACATATGCTCAACTAGCAGAAACAATATGTTGCATGTATTGAACTAGAAACAAAAGTAATATCATAGATATTTATGTATCAGTTTTTTTTCATGATTAATATAGTAAATTGAATATTATATCAATTATTTTAGTAACTGATCTAGAATGTTTGGAGTTAATAGGACTGTATCTTCTCGCTTTTTTATCATTTTCCCACAATTATGTTTTTTCTCTTAGGTGATAATACGATCAAAGTAAGAATATTTATCCTGAAAAATAATTTAGAAAAATGGATGACAGATAATAATTTTTCTAGTTGGCTAGTTCTTCCTATGATGGACTAATATTCAAAATGTGTTTAATTTTTTACTTTTAAAGTTTTAAATATTTTCCAAAGTTAATTATTGATAAATATGTTTTCTTTAATACAAATTATAAATTAAATTATTATTGAAAATTTGGAAATAGAAGATGTTTTAATTACTTATTTAAACCAAATATTTAAAAAAAATATTACAAATAATTCAAACATCACATAATTTTCTAGAATTATTAAAATTTCTCATATCAACACAAAGTAATTGACTCAATCTCAAAAATATTTAAACATTTAAAAAAAATCTTGAATTAATACACAGCATCTCACATTCACAAAATTTATGAGATTTGTTTTGTTTAATTGAGTGATTAAACAAATTATGAAATTCAACATCATTGGTTCCAGTTTAAAGTTTTGTGTTTTGTGACGAGTCTTTCGTGATAAGAAGCATACATTAAAATTAGTTTATTATGTATCAACCAAGCCAAATTTGTAAGCAAGTACATACTCATTGGCTCCTTAAAGTTAAAAGGTAAAAATAGATAAACAAATAAGAAACTAAAATGCTTTTTTGAGTTTTATAATTTTTAACATGTTTATATATGATTTTTAATAAAAATACCCCCACTGTCAAAACTCTTAAATTCTATATTAGTGAAAGCCAAGGCTAGGTGCAAAGGATTTAAAATATAGAAAGTGAAAAACAAGAGTGAACAGTCGAGTGGACGATCGGTTTTTAACGGTAGTATATAAATCAAGTTTTTAGATTTTCGTGTCACTTTGTTGCATGCACCTTCTTCTCCAAAAGTTTTTGAGTTTCAGTTTTCTTCTCTTTCTCTCTAAACTTCGTCTCCTTCTCTCTACAAATTATTCTCCTTCTCTCTACAAATTATTACCTGAGTCCTCTTGGTGTCAAGGGCTTCACTTTGCATCGATCAAGTTGTTGTTTTGGAGTTGAAGTTTGTAGGAGGTTATAGAAGTTACTCGCGGTGTAGGCAATACTGTGAAAGCATAGGAGTTTTTTGGGTTTCGAGGTAAGGGAAACTTGTAATTTAATTATGATTCTTTGTTTTGAATGGTTGCATGTTTTAATGATGTTTGGTTTAATTATTTGGTTGATATGAACTATCGATGTTATTGTATGTTCGTTTGTATGTGTTGATGATCGATAAATGGTGTGAACTAGGTAGGATTAGAACTTGATCATGATTCTGCAGTATTTGTGCAGAATTCATTAATTGTCGTCAAGAGTCATTCGTGACCATTTGGTTTCTCTTGGTGTGTTCGGTCTTAACTGAATTCTCATTCTATGGAGAATTTTAGTTAATGACCGATCGGTCTTCTATTAGTATATTTGAAAATAAGTGTTCGGTCTTAGTATAGTTTTCTATTTCTACTTAGCAATTAGCCTAGTTAAGGTACTCAATATAATTTAAATCTTAGATACTATATTTATCCTCAGTTATAAATAAGTGTTTCGTAGTTGTGCGAACGAATCTATTTATTCATTTTATATAAGCTTAGTAATGCTCGGTCTTGTACTAGCACTCGGTCTCAGTAGTACTCGGTCTTGTACTAGCACTCGGTCTCAGTAGTACTCGGTCTTGTACTAGCACTCGGTCTCAATAGTGCTCAATCTTGTCCTAGCACTTGGTTTGTATTGGTGTTAGCTCTAAATTCTAAGTGTTCGGCCTAAGCTGATAGTGTTCGACCTAAGCCAATAATGACCGGTCTAAGGCAATAGTATTCGTTCTAACTCATAAGGGTTCGGTTTAAGATTTAAGTGCTCGGGTTTAATTGTAGTATTTGGTTGTTTTAGTGTTCGACTCTAAAATCGTGTTCGGCTCATGCTTGACTCTTGCTCTTTAAATGACCGCTTGGTCATGATCATATGGGTAGTGATTTTCCATCCAGTCCTGTTCATAAAGATTAATGGATATTTCTGTTCGGTCGTTCTCAAGGGTGGTGTTGTTTTACTGTTCGGTTTGAATTGTATAAATGAAGAAGTATGATGGCAATACAGTATGATGTGATTTGTGTTATATGGATATGAACAAGTGTTCCAAGGAGGAATATCTCATGGATGGTTATTGAATGGTAAAGTATGAATGTGATTATAGCTTAGCTAGCGTTTATCCTAATATTCTGTGATTACTCATTCTCAAGTAGAGAAGAGTAACTCATGCGTGAGAATGACAGGAGGTCTTAGTCCATAAGGTGAACTTGGACGAGGTATAACAGACTAACTTCGGGTGGCAGCTGTTGAGGNCTTTCCAAGTTTCCTATTGCAGCAGGAATCCTACCAGAAATGGCATTATTCTGAAGCAACCTGCATGTGTATAATTAATAAAGCATAGTTGTAATTTTTTCACTTATTCAGCTTATAATTCGGGGGAAGTATGATTTTGTGAAAGGATAGAGCTGATCAATAAGAACTAAAAGACACTGATGCCAAACTCAACCACCATACAAAGCGAAAGCAAGATATAAAGAATCTCAACAAAAATAGCAGACGTACACAGATTGCAAGTTAGTGAGGTTTCCAATTCCGGGAGATAGTGTACCAGACAAGTTCTGACTCGGAAATCCCCTGATAAGAGAAAAAGAAAATCCTTTAGTTGAAAATCAAACTAGCAAAAGTTGGATGGTTCACTCTCTAAACAACGCCTCTTGAAACTTCTTCATCACTCTAGAACCCACTTAAAGGCCAAGCAACTTACAATGCAGAAACGGAGCCATCAGAGGAACACGTAACCATTCTCCAGCTACATGGATCAACAGAACTAGAATCCCAATTTTCCAGAACGTTGTGAGGATCAGTCAAGTCACCCTTTATGGCCATCAGAGCTACAACTGTTGAAGGAACAAACAGAAGAGGGGATAAGAAGTTTCATCCGAAAATCCTCCTGTACCTCCAGCAAACAGATAAAAAGAACATTGATCGGCCAAGAAAATAAAATAAAATAGGAAACTGAAGACCCCACCCCAACACCCTAGGTATGGGGAAGAAGAAGAAGAAGAAAAAGAAGAAAAACCCTATTAAAAAAAGGAAGAAGAACCTCTCTGCTGCTATTTTGTCATAGATAGTTAGGTAGCACTTAAATTCTCAAGGAAAATGAAAACTGAAAAACCAAGACAGAAATAGCATCATTACATTACATCAACCTTAACCACCGAGCTACCGTGCCTACTAGTTTCCAGCACAATTAAATTGGTCAATATGCAAAACTTTTGTGCCTTAAATAATCAATTCACAAACCTTCACTTCACAAGTTTTACCAAAGATCTCAATGAACAAAACAAACAAAAAAAATTCCCAAGAAGAACATTAACCTTCATAGTTTATGCCAGATGGAGAAAGAGCAGCAGAAGAAATCTCCATCAACTGCAAAAGCAGCAACCCCAGTAGCCAGAAAACCAAACTACTAAGTTCCATACTCTAAAATTAGTTCCTCAACTGTGTCTCCCTCACACAACCACTGACCAGTGCTCCAAGCCACCATAATTAACAACAACTCTCCCCATTCCCACAAAGAAGGTCCAGTCTATATCACCTTATCCAAACAGAAAAAGCCAGTCTCTGGAATCAGATTCCCACACAAAGCAACCCCACCCTCACCAAAACAGCAACTTCCACTAGACCAAATTCAATGAACATCAAGCCAAAAAGAACCCAGATGCCAAAATTGTTTTTTTTTTCCTTTTTTGCCACCACAGACCAACTTGGCAACTAAAAATTTGAATCAGCCAAGAGGAGTGAGCACTGAGAACACCAAAAAGAGCAAAACTTTAATGGCGAAAAAAAGAAAAAAGAAAAACCCAAGTTCAAGGCTGAAGTTGTGAGATCCTTGAGATCTGTGAGCGTTGGGTTTGGGTTCTATGAGGTGTGGACAGCCCCCACAAATAATTCCATGTGAGTGTGTCGTTGTTGTTTCCCGGTGATAACACTACCATTATCTTCTTTCTTTTGCAGTTGCAGAAAATAAAAAGGAGGTGAGCATGGAGCACGCTCACAACCCAACCAAACAAAGAACCAAACAGAGGACAAAACAAAAGGCCAAGGTGGACACAAATGTAGATGCACAACTATACCCAGTGACCAAAAACTTTTCTCAGGAATAAAAGTAAATAAATGAACAAAAATTATTATAATGATGGAAAACTGGTTGGTGCATTTTTTAACTTTGAAAAAAAGGAGATTGTGGTGTGAAGGGATGTGTGGGATTGATGAGTGAGAGAGAGAGACATGAGAATTATGGGAATGGGATGTGGTGATGAAAAAGAAAATATGGTTGCAGGCAGGTAAGTTTTTTTGGACAGGTCACGTGGTTGGATTGTCTCCTCCTTTGTTTGCTTTTGGCTTGAAAATGTAACTTTTTCAGAATTCGGGAAAAACAAACATCAACCAACGAAACAAATCACATTCTGCAATCTGCAGCTCATGAACTAATGGTCCATTGTGCTACACTGTGCCTCTTTCTTTGCTTAGTAATGCAGGAACCCTTTCATTTAAACTCTGATTAAGTTAATTCAAATAGGATAACTTTATACTGTTTACTATATGTCTAACTTCTTGTTAATAACTAACCATAAATTTTATGTTAAATTTGTACAATAAATCGAGATATTGTTAAATTTTGTAAACAATTTTAGGTTTAAGTTTTATGGAAAGATGCAATTGCGAATCGATTTTACCTTATATAATAGTTTTACTTTAGAAATCATGAGTTAAAATAATTTAAATATTTTTTTATCTTTAAGAAATTATAAATTTAAAATAAGAACAAAAATTTCTAATTTTTGTAATACTTATTTACAATTTCATAAATGCTCCCTTTCAATTTTATATGTAAAAAACTAATGCAGAAAAAAATATTTTCCAAAAATTGCTTGCCACATTAATTTTCAAACAATAGTTATCAAATACATGTGTAAATAAAAAGATCACATGTTACATATGCTCAACTAGCAGAAACAATATGTTGCATGTATTGAACTAGAAACAAAAGTAATATCATAGATATTTATGTATCAGTTTTTTTTCATGATTAATATAGTAAATTGAATATTATATCAATTATTTTAGTAACTGATCTAGAATGTTTGGAGTTAATAGGACTGTATCTTCTCGCTTTTTTATCATTTTCCCACAATTATGTTTTTTCTCTTAGGTGATAATACGATCAAAGTAAGAATATTTATCCTGAAAAATAATTTAGAAAAATGGATGACAGATAATAATTTTTCTAGTTGGCTAGTTCTTCCTATGATGGACTAATATTCAAAATGTGTTTAATTTTTTACTTTTAAAGTTTTAAATATTTTCCAAAGTTAATTATTGATAAATATGTTTTCTTTAATACAAATTATAAATTAAATTATTATTGAAAATTTGGAAATAGAAGATGTTTTAATTACTTATTTAAACCAAATATTTTAAAAAAATATTACAAATAATTCAAACATCACATAATTTTCTAGAATTATTAAAATTTCTCATATCAACACAAAGTAATTGACTCAATCTCAAAAATATTTAAACATTTAAAAAAAATCTTGAATTAATACACAGCATCTCACATTCACAAAATTTATGAGATTTGTTTTGTTTAATTGAGTGATTAAACAAATTATGAAATTCAACATCATTGGTTCCAGTTTAAAGTTTTGTGTTTTGTGACGAGTCTTTCGTGATAAGAAGCATACATTAAAATTAGTTTATTATGTATCAACCAAGCCAAATTTGTAAGCAAGTACATACTCATTGGCTCCTTAAAGTTAAAAGGTAAAAATAGATAAACAAATAAGAAACTAAAATGCTTTTTTGGGTTTTATAATTTTTAACATGTTTATATATGATTTTTAATAAAAATACCCCCACTGTCAGAACTCTTAAATTCTATATTAGTGAAAGCCAAGGGTAGGTGCAAAGGATTTAAAATTCAAAAAGTGAAAAACAAGAGTGAACAGTGGAGTGGACGATCGGTTTTTAACGGTAATATATAAATCAAGTTTTCAGATTTTCGTGTCACTTTGTTGCATGCACCTTCTTCTCTAAAAGTTTTTGAGTTTCAGTTTTCTTCTTTCTCTCTAAACTTCGTCTCCTTGTCTCTACAAATTCTCCTCCTTCTCTCTACAAATTCTTACCTGAGTCCTCTTGGTGTCAAGGGCTTCACTTTGCACCGATCAAGTTGTTGTTTTGGAGTTGAAGTTTGTAGGAGGTTATAGAAGTTACTCGCGGCGTAGGCAATACTGTGAAAGCATAGGAGTTTTTTGGGTTTCGAGGTAAGGGAAACTTGTAATTTAATTATGATTCTTTGTTTTGAATGGTTGCATGTTTTAATGATGTTTGGTTTAATTATTTGGTTGATATGAACTATCGATGTTATTGTATGTTCGTTTGTATGTGTTGATGATCGATAAATGGTGTGAACTAGGTAGGATTAGAACTTGATCATGATTCTGCAGTATTTGTGCAGAATTCATTAATTGTCGTCAAGAGTCATTCGTGACCATTTGGTTTCTCTTGGTGTGTTCGATCTTAACTGAATTCTCATTCTATGGAGAATTTTAGTTAATGACCGATCGGTCTTCTATTAGTATATTTGAAAATAAGTGTTCGGTCTTAGTATAGTTTTCTATTTCTACTTAGCAATTAGCCTAGTTAAGGTACTCAATATAATTTAAATCTTAGATACTATATTTATCCTCAGTTATAAATAAGTGTTTCGTAGTTGTGCGAACGAATCTATTTATTCATTTTATATAAGCTTAGTAATGCTCGGTCTTGTACTAGCACTCGGTCTCAGTAGTACTCGGTCTTGTACTAGCACTCGGTCTCAGTAGTACTCGGTCTTGTACTAGCACTCGGTCTCAATAGTGCTCAATCTTGTCCTAGCACTTGGTTTGTATTGGTGTTAGCTCTAAATTCTAAGTGTTCGGCCTAAGCTGATAGTGTTCGACCTAAGCCAATAATGACCGGTCTAAGGCAATAGTATTCGTTCTAACTCATAAGGGTTCGGTTTAAGATTTAAGTGCTCGGGTTTAATTGTAGTATTTGGTTGTTTTAGTGTTCGACTCTAAAATCGTGTTCGGCTCATGCTTGACTCTTGCTCTTTAAATGACCGCTTGGTCATGATCATATGGGTAGTGATTTTCCATCCAGTCCTGTTCATAAAGATTAATGGATATTTCTGTTCGGTCGTTCTCAAGGGTGGTGTTGTTTTACTGTTCGGTTTGAATTGTATAAATGAAGAAGTATGATGGCAATACAGTATGATGTGATTTGTGTTATATGGATATGAACAAGTGTTCCAAGGAGGAATATCTCATGGATGGTTATTGAATGGTAAAGTATGAATGTGATTATAGCTTAGCTAGCGTTTATCCTAATATTCTGTGATTACTCATTCTCAAGTAGAGAAGAGTAACTCATGCGTGAGAATGACAGGAGGTCTTAGTCCATAAGGTGAACTTGGACGAGGTATAACAGACTAACTTCGGGTGGCAGCTGTTGAGGACATCTCAGCTACTACACCATCCGGGTGCATAAACATCGTAGCTACATAATTCATACAGTCCGGACAGTCTGAGTAAAGGTAGTCGGTCATTGCATGTAAATTCCTGTCGGTTATTATATGAAATTGCATGTGTGATGATTTTATGCTATATGTGAATCTGTTCGATTTTTATGACTAATTAAATTACATAAGCTTATCCTACTATCCTATCTTGTATGTTGTCCGTTCGGTCATCCTTCCTGTTACAATGATCATCCCGTGGATGTGAGCAGAAGGGGATGAGGGTTTGCTGGAATAAGCTTTGGAAGGAGATAATATTGAAGATGTACCTTAGGACCGTTCGGTCAGTAGGATTAGTATTATTTTGTACTACCGTTCGGTTTAAATGTAGTTTTGGAACCGTTCAGCTTTTTCTTCTAATTTGTACTGGACTTTTTTTGTTATTGTAAAGTTCTAAACGCTCGACATTTTTAGTTTATCTAGAACACGTATTGTGAATCTTTTAACTGTCCTATTATATTTTTTGGATGTTACACTCACTAGTGTTATAAAAATATACTTCATATTTGAGATGTTACACTCACTTATGTACTAAAACTATACTTCATATCATATTCATCTAATTTTCATCTCTTTCCAAAATTAACTTTATTACTTTATAGAGTGAAAGGAGAAAGAAGGCAGTAACGTTTTTCTTTCTCTCTATAAGTGGACAAAAAGGGAAAGAGGAATCTTAATGTTTTATATAAAAATTAAAAGAAATTCATTTATCATATTTTATTATAGGTGTTATTGACATATATCTCTTATCTCTTTGTTTCTTTTACTTACTACACATTCAAACAAGAAGAAGGAAAACAAATTTTTTTCTTTCTTTTATTTCACTTCTACAATAAAAAAACTAAAACAACACATCTTATTTTTTTAATTTTGTTAAAAAATAAATTTAAAATTTAATTTAATTTTACAAAACTTTATTAAGTGGTTTAATTTCAAAAAGTTAATTTATAAAATAAAATATATATATATATATATATATTTTTAAAATTAATGTTATTTTTAATCAATATTAGATTTTATATATTTATTTAACTTTTTTTTCTAATTAAAATTACAATTACAAATACTCTTTTCCAAATAAAAAGGAACAATTATCCATACATGTATGATCAGAATTCAGATGACAGTTGCAGTGCAGGGGCTACACCTACACTACACGGTAATTTTTTTTTCTCGCCAATACGACAAAACAATGAAACATAACGTCAATGTTAACATGTTGTCCATGAACTGCTCACACTGTCTTTCAACAGGTTCAAAAATCTAAATCATTTTTATTTTTTACCAAAAATATATTTAGTAAGTTTTATATTCCTTGAAAATGAAATTTGTTTCAAACTTCATTTTAATTAGAAAATAAAAAATTGCTGTGCAGTTGCAATTAGTTTTAATCTAATTTTTAATTGAAATTTAAACATAAAGTGATGTGTATAAAGGGAAGAGAACTAACATGCGCCTGTGGTGGAGGCGCAGAAAAGGGAAAGGGAAGAGAAACACTGATTAAAAGGAACAGTATAAAGTGTGGTAATATTCTTTTGTTGGATAGCGTGGAATTGGAATCTCTACACTGCGTTTCCCGGGACACTCGTCTTCTGTTTTATTTTTTATTTTTTCATTTTCCACCTTTTTATCAGTACTTTATTTTAATGATAGAAAAATTAGTGACGGTAAAGGTTATTTAAAAAAAAATCTATTCATTAATGTCTTTGCTATACTTTTATATATTTGTGAAAAATAATTACAGATTTTTTTTATTGTATCATGCATACTTATTTTTTTTTTAATTTTAA